AATGCCATTTTGAGAAACTTTGATGTTGTGAAGTTTTTCATTTGAAGCTCCCTTGTATGAGTTTTAGGAATAGGCTTGAAATGACCTGTAATTCTCAAATGACCAAAATACCCTTTGCTTGCCAAGGACATAAGTAGAGTTCCACAAATCATATGAAGGCATACCATACCTTACTAGAAAGCTAAGACAATTAGGAACAACTCTAATGTTGGCCAGAAATCCATTTGAAAACTCCTTGAAGGTCAAAATTTTCTTGGAAGACAGATAACTTTCACAGACAAATTTCAGTGTCCTCAGATGACCTGTAATTTGCAAGAGCTATAACTTGAGTTCTATAAATCACCTTGATGACTTCCACCACTCAAATTAAATCTATGAAGATACTCTACAAGTTTCATGTGGACCAGAAATTCATATGAATCTTGCATTTTGAATTACACGGCTTGGAAGTTTGACCTAAATCAGGGGATTTTACACTGAAACCCTAATTTGGTAACTCCTCTTCTCCTTGACTTCTTTTGATTTTTATTTGGCACAACACCATATCCATATCCATATAGCAAATAATGAATCCCACATTCTTCAAATGATCCTTGATGCCTTTCAAAACAAGTCTTTGACCTAGGGTTGACCTAGTGCTGACCCAGATAAAACCCTAGTTGACTGACTTCAACTGAGGCTCTTGTAATCATTCCAATGACTTGGCTCTTCTTCAAAATGATCATCTAGACTTTCCATAACATCCATACACACTCCATGCTCCTGGCTCATAGCTCATACACCCTCTGATGATCCCCAGACAACCTCAAGATAGGAGAGAACCCCATGATTGATCTGTCAACTCTTTAAAGCTCAAATTCTTCTATGATGACCTGAGTAGTCTTGAATATGAATGAAACCCCTTGAATATGCCTCTTGAGACAAGAATAGTACTTGATCCCCTGATTAATATTAGCTTGCCTATGCTATGCAATGCAGATGAATACACTATGTACATGATGACAATGCAAATGACTATGCAATTGAAACATAAACCTAGGTTAGAAAATGTTGGGCAAATTTTGGGGTGCAACAAAGACCACCTAATAAAACATTACCACCATCCACCTTTGTCGTGTTATCCACAAAATTATGGCACAACCGTTTAGGATATCCAGGAGCTACTATCTTAAGTTCTCTACACCGAGACAACTTTCTCCAATATAATAAGTTTCAGAACAATTACTTTTGTAATTCATGCCCTTTTGGAAAACAAATAAAATTGCCTTTTTATAGCTCTGTGTCTCATACTTTTATGCCTTTTGATATTGTGCACAGTGACTTCTAGACTTCACCAATTCTTAGTTCAGAAGGTCATCGTTACTATGTGTTGTTTCTTGACGATTACACAAATTTTTTATAGACTTTTCCAATTCATACAACATATGAGGTTCATTCCATTTTTCTTCAATTTAGAACTCACATTAAAACACAATTTGAAAGAAAATTTAAATGCTTCCAATGTGACAACGGTAAAGAATATGATAACTCTATGTTTCATAAATTTTCTAAAAGCAATGGAATATCATTTAGATTTTCGTGTCCTCACACCTCCTCACAAAATGAAAAAGCCAAAAGAAAAATTCGTACCATAAACAACATCATCCGTACCCTTCTTGCCCATGCCTCTTTACCTCCATCAATGTGGCATCATGCACTACACATGGCCACTTACCTACATAATATCCTTCCAAATAAAAAGCTTTCCCTCTAATCACCCACTAAAATACTCTACCAAAAAAATCCAGCCTATACTTACCTTCGTGTCTTTGAATGTCTTTGCTATTCTCTCATCCCTTCATCATATATGAATAAGTTACAAGCTCGGTCCATACCTTGTGTCTTCTTAGGATATCCCTCAAATCATAGAGGATACAAATGCTATGATTTATCTAGCCGTAAAATATTTTATTTCTCGGCATGTCATTTTTGATGAAACTAAGCTTCCATTTTCTAATCTAAATGTTCCTACAACGGTTGGCTATAATTTTTTGGATGACGACACACCCTTCCTTCCATCCTATTCCTATAGTGCTTCACCCTCTAACCATCAAAATCATACTCCACCCCTAACTACACCAGTTCAAACAAACATTTACCAACCATCACCATCTTCTTTTAATTTTCCTCTGTCACCCTCCCACAATCACACCTCACCAACCATAGCATCAACCTCATCCACAAAATTACTTCTAAACCCATCATTACCAACTATCGTCTCATCCCCATCCACTACATCAGTTCTGACTCTTCCACCTTCACAACAAAAATCGTCTTTCTCCCCTCAAATGACAACCAGAGCCCAACACGGTATTGTCAAACATCGCAAACTCTTCAATCTCCATACATCAACCTCAACCTCCATATCCCCTCTACCTACAAATCCCATTGATGAATTAAATTATCAAAATTGGAAAATGGTCATGAAAGACGAATATGATGCTCTTATTGAAAATAAGACGTGAGACTTAGTTCCTCGTCCGTCTAAGCTAATGTTATTCGGAGCTTGTGGATTTTCAGGCATAAAAAGAAATCTAACAGATTATTTGAGAGATACAAAGCTCGCCTTGTAGGTAATGGTGCAAATCAACAAACGGGTGTTGGTTGTGGTGACACATTCAGCCCGGTGGTCAAACCGACTACCATTCAAACGGTTCTAAGTGTTGCTTTATCTAAATCATGGTGTCCTTATCAATTAGATGTTAAAAATGCTTTCTTGCATGGGAACCTTCATGAAACAGTATACATGCATCAACCTCCTGGATTTCGTAATTCTCAATTTCCTGATCATGTCTGTTTATTGAAGAAATCTCTATATGGTCTCAAACCTGATATCAGTGCTTTACTGATTATGTAGCTACAATGAGTTTCTCTCACAGTATTTCGAACCACTATCTTATATATCATCATGACAATGACATAGCTTATATTCTTCTGTATCTGGATGACATTGTTCTTGCTGCATCATCTGACACTCTTTGAGAATCTATTATGGAACAACTGAGTTCCGAATTCTCCATGAAGGATCTAGGGCCTCTAAGTTACTTTCTGGGCATTTCTGTCACCCGACATCCCGAAGGCCTTTTTCTTTCTCAAAAAAAATATGCAGAAGAAATTATCGAACGAGCCAGTATGTTCTCCTACAAACCACCATCCTCACCAGTAGACACAAAGGCGAAACTTAGTGGTTCATTCAGTAACCCTTACCATGATCCAACCGAATATCGTAGCCTCGTCGGAGCATTGCAATACTTGACATTCACTCGACCAAACATCTCATATGCAGTTCAGCAGGTGTGTTTATTTATGCATGATTCAAAAACTCAACACATGTCTGCCTTGAAACACATTATTCGATACATTAATGGTACCATAGATTTTGGCCTCCATTTGTACCATTCATCCGTCGACAAGCTCATTTCTTACACAGACGCAGATTGGGCCGGTTGTCTAGACACAAGAAGATCTACCTCCGACTACTGTGTTTATCTCGGTGACAACTTGACCTCATGGTCCGCAAAACGCTAACATACCTTGTCTCGTTTAAGTGCCGAAGTCGAATACAGAGGTGTAACTAATGTTGTGTCTGAATTATGTTGGTTACGCAACTTACTCTTTGAACTATGTTGTCCTGTCACAAAAGCTACTCTGATATATTATGACAACATCAACGCAGTTTATCTTTCCGACAATCCTGTTCAACATCAACGCACCAAACATATTGAAATGGATATACATTTCGTGCGTGAGAAAGTTGCTTGCGGTTAAGTACACGTTCTTCACATTCCCTCACGTTTTCAGATTGCTAACATCTTCACAAAAGGACTTCCGTTGCAACTCTTTGATGACTTTCGTGATAGTCTCAACATTCGTTCACCTCCAGTTTCGACTACGAGGGTGTATTAGATATGTAAATATAGAAAGATTATTATTAATATTGTTTACAAATGATTATTAGAATCATAACCAGATAATTGTATTGTGTATAAAAATGACTAACAGATTAATAAAAAATCACGACCTAAATTCTCTTACATTTTGTTTTTGCTTTGAGTTGTCTTATGTTTATATTATATTTTCGACTACATGAAAAAAAGAAAAAAAAAGAAAAAAAAGATGAAGATGAAGATGACGTTGAAGATTGAAAAATGGACTATTGGCCGCATAGATTCTCTTACGAAGAACTATGCATAGCCACAAAGGGTTTTCAGAATGAGAAGCTTATAGTTTACGGAGGGTTTGGAAGAGTTTACAAAGGGACTCTAATAAACAAAACGTTGGTTGCGGTTAAATTTATTAAACATGATTCTAAACAAGGGTTAAAAGAATTCATGACAGAAATTTCAAGTATGGGAAGGTTTCAGCATAAGAATTTAGTGCAAATGCGTGGATGGTGTAGAAAGGGTAATGAGTACTCATGTTAGTTTATGATTTCATGCCTAATGGAAGCTTAAACAAATGGATTTTTGATAAACCCGCGCAAATTCTGGGATGGGATCAGCGTCGTAGGATTCTTGTTGATGTTGCAGAGGGGCTTAACTATCTTCATCATGGTTGGGACCAAGTTGTTATTCATAGGGATGTTAAATCTGGAAAGATCATTATTCTTCCTGTATGGATGACTGTTTTCTAAAGTGAACATATTTGTTAGTGATAATCTTTTAAACCACATTCAGGAATAAAAAAGGGAAGCTTTTGATTACATTCATATGTGAACATTTGTGAGATGTGAGACATCACAACTACATGTTTTTTGAAAAAAGATGCTCTGGTGAGTGATGACTACATTTAAAATATATATGATTCTACAAGTGAGGTACTCAGAAAGCTTATTGAAATCCATGGCTTATTGAACCACACACCTATGGGAATCTGAAAACTTGAGAATGAAGTTAAAAGTGTATTAAATCACTGAACAACAACAGAGTTGTTTTGGTATTTAGGAAGTCAAATTTAGAGTACTAAAGAGTGAAGTTGAGAGAGTGCAAAGTGAAGCATGGTTCTGTTCTCTTTACACCTAACTTGAAACACTCAGATTCCTGCTGACACGCTGCCGCCACTGATTCCTTCATGCTCTCAGGTCCACAAACCAAAATTCCAACATTAGATCCACACGTTTCATTCTTGAACTGGCCTAATATATCTGTTCAACTCAAATGTAATGTACTCAAGTTGTCAAATTTTCAGTCTAACATTTTTAGAAATGCAAGGAAAGAAACAAATTAAATGACTAACTACCTTTGAAGTTAGGCCTTCCTCCAAAATGAACTTCATGTTCTTCAAGATCATTTTTAATTTCAGCTGAACTTTGATCAAAGGGTTTCATTTCCTTCTGCGACATCGGCGGAATCCCTTTCTTCAACTTTCTCCATCTCAACACAATTGCTATCAATGCGCTGCAAGATAAAGCTACGACAAAAGCAGCTATCAGAAGTAAATCCACAATCCAAGATGAAGTTTTTTCTTTGGACAATTTGGACTTTTTTCTGAACGGAATTATTATATGGTTGAAACAGATTAGAAAAACAAGAAAAGTGATGGAACAACATCCAGTAATAGCAGCCATCCAAACTGGACTTTCAAGTCCATAAGCTGCATAATATCTTGAGCTCACAGTATCCAATTTCAGGGTTTTCACTTTCACAAACTCATTTAACAGCTCCGTAATTCCCAGGTCTAGCTGCGTTTCTTGTGTTACAAACAATTTTAATTTCAAATGAAACTTTCGGCTTGCTTGGTTGTGTAGCAGATGCGTGATTGAATGTAACAAACAAACATCTTGTGCTCTCTTTATGACATGTACAAGTTGTATCTTTAACGGAAATTTATTCTTGTTGGTGGTTGAATCAATCTCGGCCAATATGCTCAAAAATGGTGTTATGCCACTTCCTCCCGCAACCATAAGTACACTGTCATGTCTGCAGAGAAAAATAGTTTTCTGTTATTCCGAATAATCTTATAAAAAGTCGAATAGAAGCCGTTGATGTAATGTTTATGTTTACTTTAAAAAGTCTAATGAAGCAGGTCCATAGGGTCCTTCAATTGCAACTGGTATACCCTTTCTTTTATCAGCACCTTTGTTTAGCTCAGTTTGTATCAAATCATAAAGAGTATTGGTCCACCATCCTTGACATTTAATCATCACAGACATGATATTTTCATCAGCTTTTGAACTCGATATTATACTGAATGAATGCCATTGAAGATGTGATATAGTCGGTATCTTCATATACACAACACTTGTAGGGTTATACTTTAGCCCTGCAAATAGTCGAAAACAAATCGTTGACATGGAAATATGTCTCCAAATATAATTCAATTTCAGATTGGTGTAAAGAAATTAAATACTCGGATCTTTCGGCAGAACTAGTTCCACAGCTTCGCAGGGGAAAACTCTAGCCGAAACTATGCAAGTTTTTGGACTCGATTGAATTATAAGGAGCAGTTTGTCAAGGCTAAAAAGAAACACTCCCGGAAAGACCATATAGAAGTGCTTATCTCCAGCATGGAACAAGAAAAATACTAGAAAGAGTATATACAAATGATGTGTGTAATAGAATATTTCAAACTTTCTTCTTCTAATTTGTGGAAGTGAAGTAACGAAGATAACTAGCCCGATAACAAGTGCAATCTCCCCAGCAAGGTATATACGTCCCGTCTTTTGCCACTTCCAAATCTGTTTTCAAAAACATGATTTCAGATTATTTTTATAAGCTCTCTAAAATAATAGCTTATAAAGACAATTTTCGAAAAGACTTCACCTCATGTTGAATATGGTGGCTGACGCCCCAAACAAACAAAGTGCTGGCACCATGTATTGTAGCAAAAAGTATCATTGCAGTTCCAATCCATGTATGATACCTAACTGAAGCTTCGAATTGAATACCAAATATGCGAAATAGAGACAAGCCTCTTAAAATCGGAAGAAGAAGCAAAGCCAAACAAGCTTCTGCTAACAAACCAAACCTTGTCGCTATTCTGAGATACTTAAGTTGCCATCTGAAAGCAAATTATGACGATGCACGCATTCAGTGAAATAATAACAAATTTTCTATTTTCAAACATGAAGAATGTCTAGATCCAAAAACAACACTTACAAATTCAGTTTGAGTGATTTATCTTGCATCAACTTTTTGAAATCGTTAGAAATTCGAGCATAATAAGTCCATCCCAAGAAGACTATAACAAGAAAAACTACCAGTATTTCAATACTGGTTAAGATTCCAAAAAGACTATTCACCACAAGTGGATTTGAGAACACTATTGACGAACTCCTTGCACTTCTGCAGTTTAATGTTTCAAGGAAGTCAACATTGATTCAAGTAATTGATAATGATATTATTATTATTATTTCTACTACCTGGTTCTTTGATATCCAGCTTTCAAATCCAGGAAAAGAAGTCCAATTATTGCAAGAGCAATTATAGGAAATGTATAAACAGCAAAGTTTAGACCTGCAAAAGATCTTCTATTTAGCATTTGACTGAAAGTTTAAAGAAAAAGCGACATGCAAGAGAGATTTTTGGGGTATACCATAGTATCCAAAAATTGTATTATTGGCACTTTGTTCTGCATGTTTCCATATTCTTGTCCATGGTTGAGTTGGCTTCAGAATCCAAAGAGAAATCCAAGCTGCGCATATGAAAATAATCAGTATTTTGAGAGTTGTAAGTAAAGTAGAGTTTGTCATCTCTGACTTTACTACTCTGCCACACTTTAGGGTCCTTTTCTTTTCTTTTCTTTTCTCTCTACTTCATTTATAATATGGTTAGATTTTATGATCCTATTTATAAGGGAATCTAATGATGATATAATGAAGATTGGTTGCCATATAGGAGGTGGGAAGATCAAATCTAGCCTCACCCTGCCACTACGTTGAGTGCCTGTCACTTACAAAAGCATTTCCTATAATTTACTAGCAAACTAGTGTGACTGTGACTAAAGTTTATCTACATGTTTGTTTGTGTTCATTATTAAGCGAGCACAACAAGTGTGATTTATGTATTGAGAGGAGGAAAGATTAGGTAAAAAGTTGGGTAGAAAATAGAAGATATTCTTATGAATTTAGAGATTTACTTTCTTGTAACTTTTTTATTCTCTTATTGAAAATCTTTGATTGGCAGTGCATCAAAGAGATGCTCTCTCTCGAAAAATAAATTATTTTGAATCAGTCTGGATAAATAATTTATGCGTGTTCTTGTTCTTGCTATTGTGATTTTGTTTGCACAAGTTGGTATACTAATTTTGCTTGTTGGTGTGTTTGTTCATGATCTTCATTTTATAGTGGCGTTCACGGTGAGTAAAAAGAGTACAAGTTTACAAATGAGCACCATAAGCTTTAAATAAGATAGTGAGAAGTTTTCGAAAAATAATTATTTTAGATTATGGAAAGTAAAGAGCCAAACAATCTTGATTTAACAAAAATGTGTGGAAGCATTGAAAGGTGATGTATTGATACATGTAAGTGTAACACAAGTGGAGAATACCAAAATGATGGATAATGCTAGGTGTGTCAATATCTTGTGCCTCAAAGATAAAGTGTTAAGGGAAGTCGCAAAGGAGAAGACCACAACAAATATGTGAGTCAAACTCGAATTATTGTATATGACTAGGTACTTGAAACATGATGGAGAATAAATTTGTTGGGGGAGAAATTGACCGAATTTTACAAACTTAATTGTTGTGAATTAAGATGCCTTAAAACAAAATATACTCGGTATGTTTATGATCAAGAAATACACAAGGATTAGGGTTAAGAAAAAACAAGGAGAACAACAAGGATTGGTTATAACTGTTATTCTTTACTTTCTCTATAAAATAAATTACAAGTACTCAAGAATAACAAATAACCCTTTCACCCTAATTACGTTTTGTCACACCACACTTAAGATGAGAGACTAGTATACTATTTATAATAAAACCTAACATACTAAACTAATGGATTTTTAAACAATTACCCGTTACAAGCTAACTTAGGGTACAAGCTAACTTAAACAATTGGATCCTTAACACAAGGCCCAATTCGACAACTACATACTAAAACACAATTCGACTACAGCATGTAGGTCTTCGACAACAACATGTGATCAAACTTCGACGACATGCTAACTAGAGTTCGATCCAATATCTCTCAAATCTCCACCTTGGATCTAACTCTACCATCAGGAAACAAACTAGCTTTCTTCATGCAACTTTATCAACTGCATACAGTAGAAAAACTTGCAACTGGGCAACGTCTTGGTGATTATATCAGCAACATTATGATCTATCGAAACCTTCAATGCTTGGACTTCTCCACGCTCGATTACCCCTCTGACGAAATGCAGCCTCACATCAACGTGCTTGGTTTGCTCATGATAGGCTGAATTCTTCGACAAGAGTATTGCACTTTGACTATCACATTTAACAGTGACAACTCGACCTTGGAGTTTTAGCTCCTTTGCAAAACCTTCAAGCCACACTGCTTCCTTCACAGCTTCAGTTAGGGCAGTATATTCTGCTTAAGCGGTTGATAAGGCAACAACCTTCTGAAGTGTTGGTTTCCAACTGATTATTGTGCCAAACATAGTGAACGCATATCCAGAGGTAGATTTTCTAGAATCTATACAACCTGCATAATCTGAGTCGACATATCCTTCGATTGTTGCTTTACTATCTTCACCCAAGGATCCACCATAAATTAGGACTCTGTTCAGAGACCCATTTATGTACCTTAGAATCCACTTCAATGCTTGTCAGTGAGCCTTTCCAGGATTCGCCATGTACCTGTTTACAAGACTTACTGCATATGCCATGTCGGGTCTAGTACAAACCATAACATACATCAAAGAACCCACTATATTAGCATATGGAATGCTATTCATATAAGCTCTTTCGACATCAGTATTGAGACACTAATCTATACTTAGGTTGAGTTTAGGATTTGTTGGAGTCACAACAGACTTTGAATTCGACATACCAAACTTTTCGAGAATCTTCCGTAGGTATGTCTCTTGAGATAAACATAATTTTGACTGCTTTCTATCTTTTCAGATGTCAATCCCAAGAATCCTGGATGCAACTCTCAGATCCTTCATGTCGAACTCCTTATTGAGTTCACCCCTCACCCTCATTACATCTCCGACATTGTTGCTTGCTATTAGAATATCATCCACATAAAGCAAAAAAATAACAAATGAATTACCAGGTCGAAATCTGAAGTAAACACAGTGGTCGAACTGACTTCTAATGAAACTTATGCGTGCCATGAACTTGTCGAATCTCCTATTCCACTGTCGAGGAGATTGTTTAAGTCCATATAAGGATCTCTTCAGCTTGCACACAAAATATTCCTTCCCCTTTTTGACATACCCTTCAAGTTGCCTCATTAGGATTGTTTCATCTAGATCACCATACAAGAACGCAGTCTTCACATCCATCTGTTCTAGTTCAAGGTCGAACTGTGCCACCGTGGAAAGCAACTTTCGAATGGATCTGTGGTTCACAACAGGAGAGAACACATCATTGAAGTTGACACCTTCTTTCTGAGTGAAACCCCTAGCGACCAATCTTTCCTTGTATCTTTTCAACGTCACTCCTTCGATTCCTTCCCTAACTTTGAAAATACATTTACCGCTGACTAACCTGGCTCCAACAGGTTTCTTGATCAGTTCCCAGGTGTTGTTATCATGAAGAGATTTCATCTCATCATCCATGGCCTTTAGTCATTCAGTATTCTTTTGACTCCTCATAACTTCCTTATAGTCTCTATGTTCTTCGTCGAGAACCTCACTTGCAGAGATTAAGGCATAAGCTATAAGATCTGCATACCCAAGTCTCTAAGGTGGCTTGATGACTCTCCACGACCTGTCTCTTGCTAACAGATAGTCATTATCAGTCTCCTCATCTTCGACAGTAGCTTATGCTTCTTATTTGACTCATTCGGGATACACAATTCAACACCAACATGCTCTACCTCAACGAGAAGTTCTCCCTGTTCCAGGTCTTCGTTAGCATCATTAATTTTCTTGAAAGCCATTTTTGCTTCATTGAAAACTACACCTCAACCGACGATACACCTCTTGTGACCTAGCTCTAGGCACCATAACCTATAAGCTTTAACTTCTCTAGGGTATCTTATGGACATGATTCCAGGGCTCTAAGTTCATCCTTGTCTTGCCTAATGTGAGTATAGGCCACATAACCAAATACTCTCAATTTGTCGAGACTAGGTGGATGTACTGACCAAACTTCTTCAGGTGTCTTCATATCTAACGCAGTCGAAGGACATATGTTTATCAGATATGTTGTTGTCGAAACAACCTCAGCCCAAAACACCTTCTTTAACCCAACACTAGTCAACATACATCTAACTCTTTCCAAAATAGTTCGATTAAACCATTCTGCCAAACCATTTTGTTGTGGAGTCCCTATAGTAGTTTTTTTCTTCCTTGCAATACTTGAGGCAACACAAAAATTGTCGAACGCCTCATTACAAAATTCAAGGCCATTGTCGATTCTCAACCTCTTAACCTTTCTGCCGGTATGATTTTTGACCAGAGTCTTTTCTAACCTTTGAAATTCTGAAAAGTTTCATCCTTAGTCTTCTAGATGAATACCTATAACTTCTTGGAGTAATCATCAACTATGGATAGAAAATACCTTGCTCCTGTTTCTTCACGCCTCTCAAGACTTCCTTCGACCCCTTCATGACTCTTAGGATACTTTTATCTCATTGAAAAACATACCCCTTCCCGTCGAATTCACCAAGAGAAATCAAATTTCTCTTCAAATCAGGTACATACCTGACTTCAGTCAATAACCTTATTGACTCATCATGGAGCTTGAATCTCACAAATCCAATACCTGTAATTTTGCAAGATTTGTTGTTTCCCAACAACATTGATCCACCATCTTGATCACATAGCTCCTCGAACAATTCTCTGTTTGGAGTCATGTGCCAAGTGCAACATGAATCCATAATCCACTCCTTTCTTAAGTTGCCACTTGAAACTACAAGAATATCAGATGATTCGAAGTCATCTTGAACAATGGTTGTGTTGCCATTATCTTTACCTCTATGATCTTTCAGGCGTTCAGGGCACACTTTTCTTGTGTGACCCTACTTCTTACAGTGATAGCATTGAATACCAGGTGCCTCGCCACTATAAGACTTATGTTGACTTTTATCTTTCTTCTTGTCGAACTTACCATCCTTTCGCAAGAATTTTCCCTTAACGACCAAACCTTCACCAACCGTCAAAGGTTTATGCTCCTTTCGTTCGTTCAAGTCCTTTGAATACAAGGCTGGTTGAATTCAAAGCTCAGGGACTCCCTTCCATACATAAGAGTTTCTTTGAAGTGACCATGTGTTTTGGGCAAAGTGCGTAACAACAATAGTGTTTGATCTTCATCATTAATCTTCACATCAATATTTTCAAGATCAAGGATAAACTTGTTGAACATACCCAATTGCTCAGCCAACACTTTGTCTTCACTCATCTTGAATGAATATAAAGCTTGCTTCAGGTAGAGTCGATTCACCAGAGATTTGGTCATGTACAAGCTTTCAATCTTCAACCATAACCCCGATGTCGTCGTCTCCTTTGATACCTGTCAGAGAACCTTATCACCAAGGCTTAACAATATTGCGTAGTGGGCTTTCTCTATCATGGCCATCTTTTCTTTTTCCTTTAACACAACGTCTATGGC